GCTCCTGCCCGTTTTACTCTCTCGGTTAATGGTATCTCCCTCCTTCTACCTGCGCAGGCCAATCCCCTAGAGCTCACCTTGACCCTTCCTTCTCTCACACTCCACACTGAATCCACCAGGAAATCCGAAAGCTCTGCCTTCAAAATATACCTGTAATCCAGCCACTTCTCGCCACCGCCGCCGCTTCCAGGCCGGCCCAAGCCCCGTAACTTGTCACCTGGGTTATGGCACTAGTCTAACTCTTCTCTCTGTTTCTACCCTCACCCCCCAAGTCTATTCTCAACAGAGAAACCAAAGTGATCCTATGACACACAAGTCGACAATAGAAAAACAACCGAGAAAATCAATAAAACCAAAAGTTGGCAGAAAATCGACAAATCTTTAGTTAAGCTGGCCAAGAAAAAGGACGCACAAACTCAAATTACTAAAATCAAGAACAAAAAAGGGAACATTACTACCAATTTTCCAGAAATTAAAAGGATTCTAAGGAAATGCTATGAACAAGGACATGCCACGAGTTAGATAATCTAAGGGAAATGTACAAATTCCAAGAAAGACCCAAACTACCAAAACTGACTTAAAAAGAAATAGTCTTAATTGACCTATAACAAGTAAATATTTAGTCAGTAATCAAAAGCTCCCCACAAACGAAAGCCCAGAGCCAGATGGCTTCACTAATGAATCCTAACAAACGTCTGAAGACAGGCGAACACAAGTCCTTCACAAACTCTTCCAAAAATCCAAGAGGAAGAAACACTTGTCAGCTCATTCCACGTGGCCGTTACCAAGAACAGTACAAACCAATATTCCTAATGAAATACTAGACACAAACATCCTCCACAAATACCAGCAAGCTGAAGTCAGCATTACATAAAAATGATTTATACAGTTGTCCCTCGGTGTCAGAGGGAGACAGGTTCCAGGAGCCCTGCAGATACCGGAATCCACGGATGCTCAAGCTCCTGATATAAAACCGTGTAGTATTTGGATATGACCTTGCACACACCCTCCCGTATACTTTTAAATCATCTCTAGAGTACTTATAATACCTAAACAAATGGAAATGCTATATAAATCATTGTTTTAGTATATTGTTTAAGAGATAATGACAAGAAAAAAAGGCCTGTGCATGTTCAGTATAGACACAGCCATTGCAGGCTTAGCATAATGCACGTCAGCAACAGCGTAACTTCTCTTTTTTCCCAAATATTTTCTATTTGAGATTGGTTGAATTCATGGCTGTGGAACCCACGCATACGGAGGCCCGACTGCACACCGTGGCCAAGGGGAGATTTATCCTGGGAATGCAAGGTTGGTTGAACACAGATATTAATCAGTGTAACATCGTATTAATAGAATAAAGGGTAAACCATGTGATCATCTCGAGAGACGCAGAAAAAGTATTTTATGCACAAAACCCTGTCTCACTCTCAGTAAAAGCCGATCCCACCTGATGCCCACAAGGCCATGCGCCATCCAACCCCGTCACCTTTGTCCCCTTCTCACTCTCTAGACGCGAACCACGGTGTCCTTGCTGTTCCTGGAATCCACCAGGTGCACTCTTGCATCGGGGTCTTTACAGTTGCTGTTCCCTCTGCCTGGAAAACTGTTCCCCTAAACAGCAGCATAATTCACTCCTTCACCTCCTGTAGGTCTTTACTCAACAGCCGCCTTGTCAGTGAGGCCTCTCTGGTTACGCAACATAAAACTGCAGCCCTTGCCCTGGCTGGCGTGGCTCGGTAGGTTGAGCTTCGTCCCGCGCACCAGGAGGCCACCAGCTCGGTTCCCGTCAGGGCACATGCCCGGGCAGTGGGCTCTATCCCAGTAGGGGGCATGAAGGGGGCAGCCCATCGATGTTTCTCTCTCCTTCCTCCCTTCCTCTTACTCTAAAAAAACCAATAATCAAGCTTTAAATGACAATGATAAAGTTAAATATTTGTTTTAAAATAAATTAATAATTAATTTTAAAAATATATTTTAAAAAAAATTCAGCCCTCTCTCCACAACCCCACACACTCCCTATCTCCCTTCTCCACTCTGTTTATTCCAGGCATTTATGACCATCTAGAATATTGTGAACTTTACTTGCTTGTCTTGCCTGTTGTCTGTCTCCCCAACTAGAATGTAAGCTCCCTACGGACAGAGATATTTTAGTCTATTTTATCCACTGCTACATCCATAGCATTTTAACTAGCATGCCACTTTATAGGCACTCAATAAATATTTGTTGGGTAAATAAATGAATGCAAACAGCTAGTCACTCAACCATTTACTCAACAAGCAGTGATTACCCCCACCCAGCCCAAGTGCCTGATGTTATGTTTCGGTCTGGAGTGCTGAGAAAGATCAGAACCAACCTGGGCCCTGCTGGGAGAGGGTCGAAGTGTAAATAACCGTGAACCGAGGAAGACAATGCTGAGGAGCATCGAGGATGGGGAGAGAGTCAGGCCTACCAATCAGGGAAGGCTCCATGGGGAGATGGTGCCCAAGCTGGCCACTGAATGATTCGGGCATATGGAGAAGGGATGGGGTAGAGGGAACAGAGGGAGGCCCCAGATGTGGGAAGAATGGGGTGTGTCCTGGGAATCGAGAGGAGACCTGCATGGTAGGACTGCATGGGGAAAAGGCTATTAAGATTGTCAGGAGAGTTTGTGAGGGGCTTTGAACTCCAGGATGAAGAGTTCGACTTGGTTCCAGAGGCACCAGGGAGCCATGCAAGGCTTTGGAGCAGGGAAGGTCCATGGTGTCGCTCTGGCAGTGTGGGAAGAACAGATTGTGGTGGGTGAGCAGGGAGGCGAGGAAACAAGGAAGGTGGCTCCCAGAACAGTATTGGAGAAAGACAGTAAGGCGTGAACCAGGAAAGGACGGAGGGGACTGAGAGAAGCGAGTAGGTTGGAGGTACTAAGGTTATGACCATGTTTGGGGGAGGATGGAGCTGAAGCCTGAATCTCAAGTCAGAACATTCAGGTGGACTTCAGAGGTTCAGAAGAGGCTTGAAGGAGAGGGTTCTGTCCAGAGGCCCAGAAGAAGGGCCCCACTTCTGCAAGGCTGGAGTTCCGGCCACAGGGGTTCAGCACCCCTGGGCATCATGCTAGGGCCAAACACGAGCCACAGGAAGGAACAGCTTCCCAGCGCTGGGAGACTGATGCATCCCAGCCCTGCCTGCCCTCCAGCCTCTCCATCCCTCACCCCCAGGCAGGTGCGGAGAAGAGTTCCTCCAGCTGGCTCTGTCAGCCAAGACGCAATGTCATTTCTAGATGAGCCATCCAGCTCTGGAAATGTGCCAGGCTGTGGGAGGGGGGACAGCTGTGTCCCCAAAATACAGCCAAGGAGCTTCCTCCCAGAGCCAACCAGGACAGTGGCAGAAGCAGAGCTCACAGGGGGTCCAAGGGCCCAGCCAAGGCAGGGACAGGCCTTTGACAGGCCTCCATCTGCCTGGGCCTCAGCCTGCCTGCAAGGTCAGGCCCCTTTAGCTCCCACAGGCTGGAGATGATGGTCCCTATTGCTCTTCTGCTCCCTCAGCCAGTAAGCATTAAGGCATTTATTGGCGCCTAGTGTATGCAGGCCCTTTTTCCCCACGAGGCGACAAAGGTCAGTGTGGCATGGACACAGGCTTTATAGTCTGCGGGACTGAGTTTAGGTTTTGCCTCTTCTGCTATTTGCGTTGCTGTCTCTGGGCCTCGGATTAGCAATTGGTCAAGTGGGCACGAGAAAAACCCTTTCCCATGAAGGTGTCAGAAAGACCAAACAAGAGCAGAGGGAGACAGGAATGCTAAGGGGACTTGTCTGCTCTCCAGGAATCTCAGCAGAAGCCCAACCGAGGCTGAGGACCCAGGTGAGAAGCACAACTTGAGAGAGGAGCCAGACACACCTCAGGGCTTAGAGAGAGACGCACCTGTCCCCTGTGGCCCCAGCTTGTATCCAAGGCTGGAGACTTGGGCTGGGGAGGGTTTATTTGAAGAGAAAGTTGAGTGAGGGGCCTTGGGCAACCCACCCACAGACAGGGCAGTGCCTACCAGGAGACTGACCCTTCTCCCTGGCTAGACGCCAGTGAGATGCTGACCCTCCAGCACCAGGGCCACCTGAGGGGCACCCACAAAGGGCATCCTCAGGGCATCTTGAAGCATGTCACCTGGCATTGGGAGAACATGGACCCTGGGGCCTAAGGGGGGGTGGGGGGCTCAGTACCAGAGGGAGCAGCCTGCAGTATCAGGGTGAGGAGAGAGGGCAGGAGTGGGGACTGTCGCACTTCCTGAGTTCATCCAGGGAGTTAAAGGAACACTAGAGGGGAAACAGGCTGAACACTAGCGAGGAGACAGGTTTGAGGGTCCCAAGAGGGGGCCCCACAGGGCGCCTGTTGGGGACACAAGGTTTAGCAGGAAGGGCTGGAAGGGCAACATCTAAAGAGGAGTGGAGGACAGAAGTGACTTTGTCATCTGCATCAAGGAACTGAACGATGCTAAAGCCAGGGCCAGGGGTCCAAAACCCACAAAAGTGCCCCAAGACAGGAGTCGGCCAGCATCTGGGCATCTGCCACATGGAGGGCACTGACTGTCAGCAAAACAACCCCCATTTCCAGTCATCCTCCCTGGCCTGCCCAGCCCTGGAGGGGTCAGGAGCTTGGGGCAGGAGCGGTGTCGGGGACAAGGGACAGAAATGGAACAAACAGAAGAGAATCGACTAGAGCTTCCGCTACCCCCCCCCCTCCCCCAGTGCAAATTCTGGGCCTGGATAGAAACTTTATTGGGAAGTAGAACCAAAGTTGTGATTTAAATGAAACTGGCTTTTTTTTTTTTCCTTGCCTAAGGATATTTTTTCCATTGATTTTTAGAGAGAGTGGAAGGGAGGGAGGGGGAGAGAAAGAGAAACCCGGTGTGAGCTCCACCTGGGAGGACTGATACATGTGATGGACGTAAAGACCTGGCACAGCGGGAGCCTGTATGGGGCAGGAGTTCCCTGCCCACCCCAAGCCACCCCCCTCGGGTGGGGCCCTCACTTACATAGGAGGCCAGGAGACTGATTGGAGCCAGGATGAGAGCCAGGTAGATGCAGGGGGCTGAAGCGAGCAGGCTAGAAGCACAGATGAGGGGCTCAGCCCGCGGGTTCACTTTCTTGTACCTCCTTGAAGCCTCTGCTCCCAGGACAACCCCAATGATGCCAGTCGCAATGGTCAGTGCCCCAAAAATCAGGCTGATGGGAAAGAACAGAGAGGGGTTGGTCAGCGGTGGGGTCCCGCCACCTGCCCCTGTGCAGGATCTGGCACCCCAAAAAATGTGCCTGTGGGCCCCTCCCCCTCCCTCCTAACCAGTGCTCCTAGGTCCTTGGGAGCCTAATCAGGAGCCCAGATACTCTCCCTCCCCCAGTCCCTTTCCGGCCTCATCCTGGGCATGCCACTGGCCGTGTGGTGATCTGCCCAGCACCCCAGTTCCCAGCCTTCCTCAACTCCAGGAACCTCCTCCAACCTCTCACCACCCAAAACTATCCCACTCAGAAATCTCAATTCTTCGGTCCCAATCTGGCTCCAACCTCCTCACCTTCTAGCCCCCTGTACAAATGGGAATGGAGGCAAGTGAACACTTCTTCATTGAGCTCCTATGAGAGCTCGGCCCTCTTCTAGGCGTTCCACACACCCTCCCTCCCTGAATCCCACCTTCCACTCCCTGTCCTTGGACACCTCTCAAGCAGCCCCTTCCTAACTTCACTGCCTTTCCCACCTACTCCTGGACCCACTTCGACTCTACTCGGCCCCTCTTGCACCTCCCTCCTGTGGAAACCTGTCCCTGAAAAGCAATTTCCATACAAGTCCCCAGAGGGTGTTTTCTAGAACGCAAATCTGACTGTGCCCCTGCCCACCCTCAGCCTCCAATTCGCCACCAGCTCTCAAACATCTACCGGAATCAGTGCCAACCCGTGGCATACATGGCCCTAGTGACCTGACCCTGGCTGACCCCAACCCCAGTCTCCAGCTGCACCCTTCTCTGCCTCCAAACTCATTACTGTCCCCGCTTCAGGCTTTTATTCCTCCACCTGGACACCCTTCACTAGTTTTTCCACAACTGAACTCCTACTCATCCTTCAAGACCCTTCACAATGATCTCCTCTTTGGAAACGCCTTTCCCTGGCCCTTTGCTGATGCCTTCACTCCCTTCGGTTCCCATAGAACCTTCTGTGTCTCTGTCATCAAGGTTATTACATATTACCTGTGAGTTACTGGACCACAGAGACCAGGTTTGGTTTACTTTCTTGACTCTATGCTGGGAGCACAGAGCCTGGACCAAATGAGCTCACTGAGCCCTCCCAGAATTCCCAGGTGGACAGATGAGGAAGGTTAGGCTGAGAAAAGTTAAGGTCAAGATTACCCAGCTGCCTGGCCCCGCATGGCTCAGCGGTCGAGCATTGACCTAGGATCCAGGAGATCACTTTTCGATTCCCGGTCAGGGCACATGCTAGGGTTGTGGGCTCGATCCCCAGTCGGGGTGTGCAGGAGGCAGCCGATCAATGGGGACTCTCTCATCATTGATGTTTCTGTCTCCCTCTCTCCCTCTCCCTTCCTCTCTCTGAAATCAATAAAGAGATATTTTAAAAAATAAATAAATAAAGATTAGGCAGCTGATAGTTGACAGAGGCAGGATTTGAATACATTATCTTTATTTCCTAGTCCATCCTGCTCTCCCAAGCCTCCAATTAAAGGAGCTCAAAGGGATACCGAGACTGACCAACATGAATTCTTGAAAACACAAATGTAAGCAGGACCTCTCCAGCCTCTCAGCAGCGCCCTGCTGTCCCCAGGGCAAGCTCTCGGCCAGTACTGGCCCCCACACACCTGTGTGACCTCCGTCCCTTCTCCTTCCCTCACTCTGCACGAATGACTGGGAATTCTCTAAACTCACCCTTCGCTTTCTAGCTCCCTTGCCTTGGCCCATACCCTTCACTTCCCCCGACCCACCTTCTCTACTTGGCTTCTCTACCTGACCAATATCCCAGCCCAGGCCCAAACATTTCTGGAAGTACATGGGATAGCCCAGTGCCCTGCTATTACCTTTGCAGCAGCTCCCACTAAGATGTAAGAACATGAGAGATGCAAGACTGCAGCTACTGACAAACTGAGTGCCACAAAAAACTCCTCTCCTCTAAACAGCTTCTGTAAAAATGTTCATTCCACAGTCTGAGGACTAGTGGGTTTGTATAGAGCCCAGAGTGGGCAAGAACCTGCTGGAGGTCAGACAGCCCCTCATGGGCAGAGCCAGGGCTTCCTGGCCCTCTGCCTACTGAAGCATGTGGGTCCTTAGGCAGCTTAGAGGTGCTCACTGAACCTTCCCACCCTTCCAAGCTCCGTAAGGCTCTGGCTCAGCCCAGTCAAGTGACCCTGAATCCAGATGAATGCTATCTGCTTCTGAGTCCTGGTCTGAGCCGGCCTTGGCAGATTCTCAAGACCAAGATTGATTGGCCTTGTGGAGCCACCCAGCCCCTCTACTTCCACAAGGACTTCCCAGAATCAGACTCTCAGAGCCAGGAGTGGGGGTCCTTAAAGGCCAGCAAGTCCTATCCTGATTCTCTGCACAATGGTCCTGGCAAGCAGCTGTCCAACTTCTACTTAAACACTCCCAGGGGTGGGCAGTTCACTACCCCCATGCAGCCCTTTCCATCTGACCAGCTCTGAGTGTTGAAAGTTTTCCCTCTGGCCGAGCTAGAATCCCATGTCCTGCAGCTTCCTACCCTCACCCCACCCTCACCCTAAGGCTTATTCTAACCACAGGGGGTATTTAATAGCTGGGGTCTGTGCAGAACCTCACTCTGTGATAGGCTGAATAATGGCCCCCAAGATATTTACATCATAGGACAAAACATGATTGCACTAAGGATCTTGAGATGGAGAAATTATCCTCCACTTTTTAGTGGGTGCTAAGTGCAACCACAAGTGTCCTCATAAGAAGGAAAAGGAAATCTGAGACAGAAGACGAGAAGCCATGTGTCCGTGGATGTAGAACCTGGTGTGATGTAGCCACAGGCCAAGGAATGTTGGCAGCCACCAGAAGTTGGAAGAGGCAAGAAAGGTTTCTCCCACAGAGCCTCCAGAGGGAGTGTGGCCCTGCCAAACTTGATTTTGTCCCAGTGAAACCATTTTGGACTTCTGACCTCCAGAACTCTGAGAAAATAAATTTCTGTTGTTTTGAGCTACCAAGTTTGTGACAATTCATTACATCAGCTCCAGGACACTAATACAAACTCCCATGTCAGTTTCTCACATAGGTTCTATGAAGGAGCTGAGTTAGAAGAAGAGGCTAAAGCTGAGAAAAGGGGAAGTGAGTTGCCCAGGGTACTTGGCCAGTTAATGCCTGAGGTGGAATCAAGTCTTATTTTTCCCCCACTTTCTCAAGCTGCTGTGGGGCTTTTAGGCCTCAGTCTTTGCCTCCAGGGAGATAACAATCTAGTTGTGGCGCCAAGACAAACATGGCAGGATCATTTGATGCATCCATTCACTCACTCACTGGATGCTTTCCCTGAGCATCCACGGGGAATGTGCCAGGAAGCTGCTCCCCACTAAGTGGAGAGATGTTCAAGTCAATTAACAGTAACAGACAGTCTCCAGGGGCAATCGAATGTGGAGCTTAAAAGCACCAATTTTGGAGTCAGATGGGTTTTGAATCCTGGCTCTACTCTGTGTTAGCTGTGTGATCTTGGGCAAGTCACTTAACCTCTCTGATCTTCCATTGTTTCATTGGTAATACAGGAATAATAGGGTTAATTATTATAAAACCTCAGAGGGGTTTTCATGTAGAATGCATACCTTAGGGCCTGAACTAAAGTTAAAACTTAAGACGTAACAATGAGCCCAGCCAGCGTGGCTCAGTGGTTGAACATCGACCTAGGATCCGGAAGATCACGGTTCGATTCTTGGTCAGGGCACATGCCCGGGTTGCGGGCTCGATCCCCACTCGGGGGCCCTGCAGGAGGAAGCCGATCAATGACTCTCTCATCACTGATGTTTCTCTCTCTCTCCCTCTCCCTTCCTCTCTCTGAAATCAATAAAGACGTATTTTTAAAAATAAGTAAATAAATAAAGAAGAGATAATGATGAGAAAAGGGAAGGGAGCTATGGGCATAGGTCACAGCTTGGACAAGGGCATGAATAAGTAAGGGGGCACAGGACAGTGTGGCAATTACATGACGCTCTCCCTCTGGGAGTGAGGAAGGGGGGGGGGGCAGACGTGCTGCCAGCGGAGAGCTGGTGTCACTGAGGCCTCAGGGGGAAGGGAGCTGCGGGAAGAGCTCAGAGCCCGGAGGAATCTGGGGGGTCATGGGGCAGGGCGGAGGAAAGGGGGCGCCACAGGAGATGGAAAAGCATCAGCTGGAGAGGAGGAAACTAGGGTTAAGGGTTTCAAGGAGGAAGACAAAGCAAGTGAGAGGTGACCCAGATGGGCCCTCTCCATCAGGAGGTCACGGGGCCCTTGGGGAAAGGGGCTGCGGAGGGCAGGGAGTGGGGAGGGCACTCCCTGAGGGCTTTGCTCCCCACCCTCCAGCAGCTTTCCCAGATTCTCAGTGCCTCAAGCGAGAAAAGAACAAATGAGCTCATGGGTGAAGTCCCTAAGCCAGATGGGTACGGAGGCCTCCCAGTGCCTCAGTTTGCCATCTGTAAAATGGGGTGACCTCACATTATGGTCCCTTCGAAGGAAAGTTGCCTGAGTCCCATCATTCTCAACCCCAGCCCAAGTGCCTCTGGATCTCCACAGCAACCCAAGGGTGGGAAGAGAGGGACTGGGGCCCAGAAAGGACAAGGGAGCTGCCTCTGGACACCAGGGTGACTGGATCTCGGCCAGAGCCAGAACCAGCTGGCCTCTGAGCTCTGGGGTCTTCACCGAGCACCATGTACCCAGACAGATTGAGTTTAGGGGCTCAGAACCTCCTGAGACATCCCCACCAAGAGCCCCTATAACCTGGGCCAGGTGCCCAGTGCTCCCAGAGGCCCCTCACCTGTCCTGGCTGTCACATGGCTGCTGGAAGCAGGGAGGCTGCAGTCCACGCACTACACGAGCCTCGAACAGAAACTTGGGGGTCCAGAAGCCCACAGCTCCAGTCACGAAGCCCATGGCTGTCACTCCAAGGGTCAACCACACAAAACTCCAGCTGCAAGAGAAAGCACCCTGGCTGAAGCTGGGAGAGGGCTGGGGCTGCAGGGGATGTCGCTTCTGTTTGGTCCCCTCCTCCCACCTCCTGGGCACTCAGGTGGGCTCGGCATCCCTCCCAACATTCACTAAGAACCCTGCGCATCCCACCTCTGCACCCTCTCACGCTTTGCCTTCTCCCCGGCCCTCTGCAGGACCAGGTGTCCCCATCCCGAAAGGCCCACCTCCAACTTCAAGTCCTCTGGAAGCTGCCCCTGAGGCCCCCCCTTCCTCTGGGCGCCCTCCACTGTCTCATGGCTTTGATACAAACAGAGCTGGGTCCTGTTCGTGCCCCACATTTTGGTAAATCGTGAAGCCTGTGAGTGCAGTTGCCTCCTGATGCACTCCCATGAGGCTCAGGGAGGTAAGTGATTAACTCCCGGCATCCTCCCGGCCACCCTGAGAAGCAGCCGAGGCTGGAGAAATATGCCCATGGAGTAAGTGAGGGAAGTGAGGCTCCAAGTCTCAGGTCACTTAAGGATAAGGCAGTGGCGGAGCCAAGGCTGGCGCTCATGCCACCCCCTCCCTTGGTCCTCCCTCCCTCCAAGCCCATACTCTGTCATGAATGGGGGAGGAGGGCCTCCAGGTGGGGGGGCATCTCAGTTGGTGAGTGGGGGCTCAGAGATAGAAACAGGGCTGCGAACAAACGTTGGACAGTCACAGAGGGCTCCCTGGAGGCAGAGAGGGGGAGGTCAGGGATGCTGGGGCAGGCAGTGGGGTTTTTGGTGACAAGCAGGGGGAGCAGGGACACTCACTTTCTCCCCAGGTATCTGACATCCTCACACCAGCTGGCCACCATGGCCACCTCTCTCTGCTTCTCAGCAGCTCCCCGAGGTGGGTCTGGAACCAGCGTGACAAGCAGGATCAAGGCCACGGCTTCCAGGCAGGGCATGACCTAGGGACAGGAGGGCCCAGGAAGCTCAGTGCCACGTGCCCCTGTGGCCCAGAGATCCTAGGGTGACTGAACTCTGTGGTGCAGGCTCCTGGGGAGCTCTGTGCCCTGGGGGTGGAAGGAGAAGGGCTAGTTTCCTGGGTGCTGGTTATGCAGAGCCTGACATCACTGTTTCTCATGCCTGAGAGTGCAGCTTGAGAGTGGCCCCCCTTGGGGGCTGATTTAATACCTGTCTGTCCAGTACAGACACCACTCTATTGGATCAGTGAGCCTGACATGGCTGAGAACTGGGGCCTCTACTACGCTGGCTCTAACTATTGCATATTTGTTGCCCCCATAACTGCCCCCTTTCCCTCCATCTGCCACTCCAGTCCTACCCTAGTATCTTTCCATCTCTTGTCTCATTAAACCTCAAGAGTCCCTAAGGGAGCATTTACGTCCTCATTTTCAAATAGGCAAAGTGAGGCTGCTAAGAAGGAGGTGTCTTGCTTCAGGTCACATAGCTAGCAAACTGACCAGTCAGAATTTGAACCCAGGACCAGGACTTCCATAGTCCACATTCCATGTGAGGCCACAAACGTCTGAAGTTGCTGATGTCTGACCACCCCCCATGGCGCCAGGTACTGTGCCAAGTGGCTAAGGCCACTCCAGGCTGGAAAGTCCCCGCAGCCCAGGGGGAAAGCAGAGGGAAGAAACGGAAGCAGGACTCACTCGGAGGGCCCAACGCCAGTTCCCAGTCAGCGCCTTCGCAGCTGACCCCAGCATGTAGCCCAGGCCACTGCAACAGAAGAGCAAGGGGAATAGGCAGTGAGGGCCTGAGCCAAGGTACCCCCACCCCAGGGAGCCCGCTCTCTGCAGCTCATAGCCCTTCCACGTGAGGTCCAGATGTCCACTGCCCTCGGTCAAGTCACCAGCGACCTCTGGCCCCTAGCCCATCCCCGGCACCACTGTCCACTGTCTCCTTATATGAAGGCCACCTCCCTTGTCTGAGGCTCAGCCCTGCCTGAGTCAGGTGATATCAGGAAACCTGGGTCAGAGCTCAGAGGCCTAACTGTAAATCCCACTCTGTCCTACCCCGCTGCGGGGTACATTGCCCGGCCCTAAGGCACTTTCCTGCCTCGCCTCCCGGGGCCAGCCCTTCCTGAACAGGCCAACTGCCAGGCGCTCTTGCTCACCCCTTCGGAAGTGCAGGGAGCACCTTTATTCTCTGTAATCCTCCCCACAGCCCACCAGCATGACTGTCCCAATTTACAGATGAGGAGCTGAGGCTCAGAGAGGGAAAGTGACCCAGCGAGAAAGGGGTAGAGTTGGGATTGAAATCTCAGCCCTCCTGGTCTGATATCTCCTCCCCCAACCCAGCCCCTGTTCTGACTCCTTTGGGCCTCAGTTTACCACCCCAGGAAGTGGGTCCAGGGTGATACTCACCTTCCAACAGGAATAAAGATGTAGAAGATAGCCAGTACCCGGGTCCGCAGGTCCCTCACAAAGAGGTCGCCCAGGATAGTGGGCGCGATGGTGGAGTAGCTGGCAGTGCCAATGCCCACCACTCCCCGGGACAGGAAGAAGAGCCAGGAATACTGGGCAAGCAGACACAAGAGCAGGGTGAGCTCCAGAAAGCACCCACAGGCAAGGGATTTGAGGATTTGTCAGAGGGGCGAGGGCACTTGGAGACACGTGCCCCCAAGAGAGGAAGAGGGGATCCAGCTACAGGCGCCTGGCTATCCTCCCAGCCCAGGTCCCCCAGATCACACGGTCGCTCCCCGCTGGCGCCTGCGGCTACTGCCTGCCCCAGCCCCGAGGAACCCTTTTCCTGATCATCACCTTTGCTAACCAGGCCAGTTCCCCCCAAACTATAGCTGTTACCCCACCCCCAGCACAGTGGGCGGAAGTGAAGCCACAGGCAGCAGCGGGAGGTGCAAGAGAGGAAGGCCCCTGTTAGGAAAGCCCAACGGGCTCCTCTCCGCCCTGGAAGGCATCCCCAGCAAGCCCGGAGCCCGGAATGGAGCAGAAGCAGTCCCACCCCGCTCTCATGGGTCAGGGAGAAAGGTGGGGGGTCCCTGGGGCCTGTGCAGGGGTGAGGGCACCTACCCGGGGGGAGATGAAGGAGCTGGAAAGGCCTGCTCCTGACCAGAGAAGGATCCCAAAGCTCAGCGTGGCTTTGCGGCTGTGGCGGTCGCCCAGGTAGCCAAACACGGGTGCAGACATCAGCAGGCAGCTGGTGAAGACTGGAGGAGAAGGTCAAGGGGCAGCATGCATCTCCCCACAAAGGCGGGTGCGCTGATGGGCCCGGCAGACCCACAGAAGGGCACCTTGGCAGTGGGTCGAGGCCAAGAGGAGGAAAATAACGTGAACCCTCAATCCCCTCTTAGCACAAAACCCATTGCCCAGAGTCAGAGGGGTGGGCTAGGGCTCAAATCCCAGCTCATCCACTTGCTCACTGTGTGGCTTTGGGTTACTAACTCCACCTCTCTGATCCTCACCCCAGCACTGATGAAGTCAACAACCCCCATCCCCGCCCCCACACGCCCTTCCGAGGATGCGAGATAGAGGTGAACACGGAGCCAGGTGTCCAGCTGCCAGTTCCCTGCACACGGGGCCCTCGCTTTCCCAGGACGCCTGCCCTCTGTGAGCCTGACGCTGGGACTGGTCTGATTTTGCTCTCACACCCCTGCTGAGGGCGAGGGGTGGAAGAAGGGACGGGTGGTCTGCCTGGGCCCTCTCCAAGCAGATGAGCATGGTTTAGAATGAGCCCAGTGTTTCCTGGAGGCTGGAAATGCATTGGTTTTCCTAAGCAGGTAAAACATCCCCGGCAGTTAGTTGTATTTATACTATTTTTTAAAAGTAAACCCTTAAGAACTGGCGGCTGGATTAATGAATACGTTTGCTATGCTGTGAAGACAAAGACACTGCCCCATTTTTGCATGACTACCACATGAATAGTTACCCTCACTGCCTCTGTTCCTTAAATAAATCACCTCCACCCTCCGAGGAGGACCCGTCTCTGCCTCTGAAAGCGTGCAGGTGGCGAGAGGGAGGTCTGGACCCTCCCCACCTGGTCCCACCATCCAAGGGACCCTCGGTTGGGAGGGCCCTGCCCACCGCCCGCCGCCTGGGTCTCATTCAGAGCACATATGATTGACATTTCCAGAGCCCAAAGAGTGTCCAGCTTCCTCCGGGCTCAGGTTCCAGCCCCTCCCACTCCAGCATTGGGTTGAGCCACTTGCAATTGCAGAAATTAGGCCAGTTTTGACCTACAAAAAGGAGAATCTAATATGGTTCGACATAATACTCCACAGAGACTGGTCTTTGGTGTCAATGGCATTTATAATTTTAATAGCTGCTGCCAAAATAGGCCTCCAAAAAGGCTGTATCGATTTACACTTACACAGAAGCATATGCCAGCACCCTTGTGACACTTGATAGGATCAATCACTTTATTTTTGTTCACCTAATGGTTGAAAACCAAATGGTGTCTGGCTGATGTTTTAATCTGCCTCCTGCGCCCAGTGAAGCTGAGCATCCTCTGCTCATTTTTCTATTGGGCTCTTTTTTGTGTGGAAATAATTTCTCCCAGTCCTTTATATTTGTTTTAAGGATTTAAAATGCAAGTTCTGAGACTAAACTACCTGGGCTCATCCTGACACCACTAATTTCTAGCTGTGTGACCTTGGGCAAATTCCTTAACTCTCCTGTTCCCCTTTCATCAACCACACAATGAGATAGGGAGAGTACTTGCCTCGTAAGATTAAATTAAATAAAGCATATAAAAGGCAGTGACTGGCTTCATATAAATGCCTAATAAATATTACCTATTATTACTTATTGCATTTATAGTTTCAATCACCATCATACAGAAGAGTTTAGCTTTGATGTAGTCAAATTTATAATCTTCCTCTAGGGAGGTTGTTTCTTATTTTGCTAATGCCTATCTTTTTTACCCAAAGGTTATAAACATATTTCCCCAAATCTAATACTTTTATCAGATTTGGGGCAAGGATCCTTCACAGGACATAAATACCTTAAACCTGCAGATGCCCTGGGATAGAGAGACCTGGCCCTCAGGGAAAGGTAGGCACTCCTCCTTTCCTTTGTAGCACCTCCAAATTCAAATAATTTCTTTGACAAGGCGGGAGTGAGTAGTCAAGGAGCACAGGGTTAAGAGGACTCCCCAGGCAGCTGCCTGGATTTGAACCCCAGCTCTGCCACTCACCAGCTGTGTGACTTTCAGCAAGCCCCCTAGCCATTCTGTGCCTCAGATACGGCATCATAATAATACCTGCCTCGTGGGGTTGTTGTGAAGACTAAATGAGTTAACATTATAAAGCACTTAGAATATTGCCTGGCACATGGTAAGGGCCACCACTGTGTTCATTTTCAATATTAATAATCAATTAACTAACTCCGGCAGTTTCTCCGTCTCAGTTGGGCAGTTGGGTTCTGATCACTGTTCACCCCTTCCCTCTCCCCTACTCTTACGGCTCGACTGAGCCCCCTCTTAGCGGTCTCCCTCATTCTGCAGCCCTGTGGACAGGCAGGGGGTGGGTCTTTGGGCCACTGCATGGTGATTTAGAAAGGTAAAAATACTCACCTGAGACCACCAGAGACAAGCTGGTGATCAGGCCTCCAGCCCCACTGCCCTTTCCATACACTTTTTGGGGATGTTTTTGCAGAGATGACCCTGCCCTTCACCCACTCCCAGACACACACATTCACACATCCACACATTCACATTCTCTCTCTCTCTCTCTCTCTCTCTCTCTCTCTCTCTCTCACACACACACACACACACACACACATATCTCTCTTATCAGGGGCCTTATAGTAATAATCCTATTCCGCATAGTAAGAAACAGGGAAGGGAAATGTTGACTCAACTACCAGTATCTGTTTAATCTAGAAGTCTGAGGGTGTTGGGCCTAGACGGTCTCCCTTTAGCTACAATTATGAAGGAAGATCAGCCCCAGCCGCAGGCCAGAGGCAGGAGCAACAGAAAGAGCCGTGGTCTAACACAGGGCTCTGCTAACTCTTTTGTTCCGTGCCTTTGAAAGAAGTTTTCAGCTGACGTGGCTCAGTGGTTGAGCATCAACCTAGGATCCAGGAGATCGTGGTTCAATTTCTGGTCAGGGCACATGCCTGGGTTGCAGGCTCGATCCCCAGTAGGGGGGTGCAGGAGGCAGCCAATCGATGACTCTCTCATCATTGATATTTCTATCTCTCTCTCCCCCTCTCTCCCTTTTCCCTTCCTCTCTCTGAAATCAATAAAGACATTAAAAAAAAAAAAAGTTTTCCACTAACATTTAAAAGATCTTTATTGTAAGTTTTAAAAGTTGCATAAGATACAATTTCTAGCATTATCGTATTTTTTTAAACTATATTTTTATACGATCCATGAGGCAGCAGATCAAGTTCATTCAGTTTACAGGAAATGCCTGCCACAGAGTCTAATGAGCAAAACCAGTCATTATTTGCCAAGTCAATTGGGCAAATCAGACTGGTTGTCTGTAAGAAAGACGTTAAAATGTTGGCTTCAGTTTTTATTGAAATAAATGTGCCGACTCCCATCCCTAAGACAACCTTCTCACTCCTGAATTCTAAATCATAGATAAATAGCAGGCTGTCGCACACCAGCGAGACAGCTAGATAGGGTTTGGCATCTTGCCATAGATTTGTGGCCTGGAGACAACATCCCCAGTGGGTTTCTACTGGCTCTGTCTGCTCTGCTCCCAGGTCCTCCCCAGCCCCTCCCCAGCTGAAGCCAAGCATCCAGGAGGAGTCCCTCTGTCTGGCACCCTGGAGGCTTTTATACCCCAGGGCATGCACCATAGTAAAACTCAGAAAGGGGGAGAGGTATACTTTCCTCCTTAAAACGGTAGATGGATGATTTTTAAAACAGAAGTGAGAGAGGAGAGAACCAAAGGCCAACCAGAGGCTGTTCTCAGGCAGATCCATTTTAGAAGAGAAATCTATGGGCTTGAGATCTATAAATTGTGTTCTCAAAGCTCTGCTCGTGTAGCTCCTGGAAAGTTTTTATGTCTCCCCAGGGGTCCCCGTACCCAAGTTTGAGAGCCTTGTTCTAAAATACTGAGATAGTGGACTATTAGAAGGAAGAACTACCCATATGCTAGTTACCAGCCAGGCGTGTTCACACATGTGTATCCTATGTTGTGATAGTGTATGTATACATATGGGGGGGTACATGTGCAGGCACTCCTGATCCCAACTGCCCCCTCCTTGGAATGGGACATATGGCTGTTCCCTGATGCTGGGCTATAGATGTGTATAGGTCCAGACCCTCTCTGAGCCCATGGGGTTGGGGGGTCTCTGTTTGTCTGTCTGTCCTGGTGGCCAGCGTTTTCAGGTCCATGAGAGGAAAGCAGGCCTCAGGATTTCTCAATCCCTGCCAGTCTCCGGTACCCAGCTGAGCTGAACAAATATGAAGGGGTGAGTGAACAACTCCGCAACCATGATTGGAAGCTCGGGGGCCCTTTCCAACCCCAGTTCCCTCTGCTCTTTCGGTGCACGAGGTCTCAGCCCACACCATCTCCTCTGCTATCCAAATGTCCTTTGTACTCACTGCCACCACCCACAGTGCCCCTTCCTCTGCCGGGAGACTTAGTGGAGCTCAGCCTGGGCCCCGTTTCCCAGCGGCTATAGCCAGGGATCCCACCCCAGCATGAGCCCAGGGCCCGAGCGCCAGGCCAGGATGCCCTCCTTACCCGTCTGAAGCAAACCAGCACTGCTGTCACCGATCTGAAAAAACTTCTGTACATCCAGCAGCACTCCTGAGGACAGAGGGACAGTGCTCAGGAAATGGGAAGTAGCCCACAGGCCTCTAAAGGCAACAGCCCCTGCCTTTGGGAAGGGCCACAGCTGAAGAGCACAGCACAGGGCATGGCACCTGGGCCCACTGTTCTTTCCCCTCTCTCTTACACATACATACAACCACACACACACACACACACACACACACACACACACAGGAGCAGGCACACAGAGAGAGAAGTGTGCATATCAAACACATGCAGAAATATGCATCCCAAAGGCCCTGACTTACACACCCACATTCACACACAGCATGCACTCCCAGGCACAGGCACATAGTCATGCAGACACACAGACATGCAGGTCCACATGCGTGCATACAAACAGGAATGCCCAGGGAACTATACTCTCAGAGGCACAGCTATACATACTCACAGACGTGTAGGCCCTGTCTTGTAAACACAGACACGCAGACACATATACACTGAGATGTACACATAAAGATACTCCCATAGGCATGTATGCATATGCATATGTGCAGGGCTGCCATTCACATCATAGTCAGAGTGACTGGCAGCTCCCTGTTGCTGCACAACACACAACCATTCACTTAAACTACAGTGTAAATGGAAGTCCCTGGGATTGTGCAATACAGCAGCCCTCCTCCTGTACAAACTCCAGATATTCATAGACATCCATATACATGCCCGGGCATGGGCATGCAAAGATATGTGTGCCATGGCCTGCACACACGCACACCCAAGCATGTTCCTCCAGAGGTGTGAGCACACAGACCCGAGAGTACACGTGAAAGCTTCAGAGACAGGTCCTATTTAGGTCCGACCTTGGCCTCAACTCCCTGAGGGTCGTAGGCTCTTGCTCTGCACTAACCAGCTCTCTAAAGCCGCAAGACCTTGCTAGGCCATGGGCCGGTGTAGTGCGCACTCAACCAAATGCAGGGAGAGGAACCCTGACACGAGGTTCTGTTCCCTGGAATCCCCTCAGCCCTTTGGTGTATTTTAGAAAGAGTTAGCCACAGTCCTAAGCACCTGAGTATCTGAGCTGTGAAGCTCTGGCCCTGTCATGATGAGGAACAATCATTACTTTCATTGAATTATGGGATGCCTGAGGGCCAGACCCTGATCTGGATACTTGCACTATTTCCCTGAGAAGTAGGGACTATCATTGTCTCCATGATAAAGATGAGAAAACAGAGGCTCCAGCCAGCCATGGTTGCACAGCTGGAAATGGGGGAGCCAGGAGTAGAATCCCGGCCGGAGGCAATCTGCCCTCCCACCCAGTGTCACAGAAGGGGGCAGAAGACCCCCAGTGGGGCCCTGGAGAAATGCCCACGGGGTGGAGGGAGGAGAAAGCCCCCCATCCACACCTCCAAGACCTGTGAGCAGATGAGGAAAGATCCAAGAATCAGAGAAGCGAAGTAAGTTTTATGTTCAGACGTTTACTTTGAGCCCCATGGTCACAGCATCTAGGCGACCAACCTATATGTCTTTTCCTTCCCTTTCAACATTTTTAATTACATGAATAAGACATATTCACTGGAGAGAAACAATAGACAAGCAGCTAAGCAAAGTAAATGGCTAAATAAAAGTTCTCTCTAATCACACTCATCTTTCGAGCGTAGGAATATGCACTCACCCCCTGTTTGCTCAGCTCCTGGGCTCCTCCCAGCTCTGGGGCGGGGCGAGCTGGGCGCAGCCCCAGTTTTTACCTTTGAGCTGTCACTCTGGCCTCCTGGGAGAGCTGCTTGCTCCGGGCAGTCCTCCTGCCCTGGGCTTGGTTTCACTTCCCCAGGCCTCCGCTGCCCAGGACCGGCCTTGCTTCTCACGCAGCCAGAGGAAGTCCCAACAGGGAGCGGGCCTCGGGCAGGCAGAGCTCAGGCCCAGCCAGAGGCCTTCCCGGACAAACGGAGACGAGACCAAGGACCCCAGCCCGTGGGGCTCAAAGAGCTCCATACCCACGATGGCCCTGCTGTCACGTGTGCCCTGCCCATCCCCTCCTCTTCTTGCCTGCATCCCACACTCCTGTTCAGGCCTCCTCAGCGTTGGCCTCTTCCATGGCAGTGGCCTCTGAACTGACTTCACTTTTTCCTCCGTCCGGGCTTCACATCTGATAATAGTCCCCCCTCTTGAAAACATTTTCCATGGCTCCCCATTGCTTCAGCACCAAGTCCAGGCTCCTAGCCTGGCACCGAAAAATCCTGGGATCTGGCCCCAAACCACCTTTTAGAATAATTTCCTGCTTTCTCGCCCCTCACCATACCTGGTCAGAGCATGTCCTTTTGCCCCATGTGCCCTGGCTCATGCTGACTCTTCCTTCTGAATGCCTTTCCTTACCCCATTCCCTGCCTTGCCAATTTTCCCAGCCTTCACGGCCCAAACCCAGTGCTCCCTCTTCTGTGAATTCTACCAGAACCCTCAGTCCTGGGTCCTGGGGTTGCTCAGCTGATGCTCACCCCACTCTGCCTGTATTAGAGCTACTTGCACATGTGTTCTGTGTCCCTCTAAGCTCATCAAAGACAGACACTAGGTCTGGGGTTTTCTGCAACCTCTGAGTCCTGTTCATTCCACAGCCGCTCTCTGATGGGCCATGCTGGTAACTGATGACTCAGTATCCTGGTCTCGGGGATGCCCAACTACCAGAGGTGCCACCTCTGAGCTCCCCAGGACAGTTGGTACCTCCCTCACTTGGCTGCACCTCCCTTCCTTGCAAGAGTCTTGTTAATGAGCTTCTCCCTCTGCCCTAGGAGACAGTCATTCCTGAGTTCAAGAACTACAAGGTTGACTTCCCCTCCCCTGGGTCCCCAAGGGCCCTGCCCATAGTTAGTGCTCAGTAGATCTTGAATGAACCAATGATAGAGGAAAGAGGGTCGAATGTTGAATGGATGAATGAATGAGTGAGTGACAGGGGAGCTTGAGCCCCAGGGCCTACGGGAATGTACAAGGCAGAATATGCAAGATTTGCACGCAACTTGCTGCCCCACAAATACCCAGCAAGCTATTTCTTGCTTGGGAGCTGGGCCAGGCTGCCCTGTCCTCCACAACCTCACCCCGGCGTTGCACCCAGAACCCCCAGGCCTTTGCCTGAAGGCCCAGTCCCCCCGGCTGTCCTCACCCATGGACCCACACCTACGTGCACACTCTATATCGGCATGGCCAGGCCTGAGGACAGCAGGGATATGATGCTCCCCAGGAAGAAAGCTTGCTGGAGGGAAGGCCTCCGTGGTGGCAGGGCAGCCAGTGGGCAGGTGGGCAGGGACTGCCCGGGGCGCCCGCCTCCTTCCTCACCTGCGATGATGAACCAGTTCATGTAGTTCAGGAGGTTGATGTAGCAGAGCACTGCCGCAGCCACATATGCTCTCCAGCGGGGCAGGCTCCACGGGGCAGGCGTGGGTGGAGGGGGACACTGATCTGAGGCGGGAGCCCCGGAGTGCCAGCCTGACCCCGGGGACGAGCCCTGGGGCCCCTCTGGCTCCGGCTCCCGGCCCTCCTCAATCATGCCCCGCACCTTGTGGCCTGTAGCGCCTGTCCCCGGAGGCATGCAGGGGCAAAGACGCACCAGCTCTGTACCGTCACTTCCTGCGGGCTCCCAGCCTCCCAACCTCAAAGCAGCTGTCCTAACTGCTTGAGCATCTTATCTCAGGTTCCTGCTGAGCCCGCTGCAGCCTCCTCGATGGTGAGATTTCACCATCCCCCGCCTCAGAGGCTGCTGGAGAGGAAGAGGGCCCCCCGCGTCCCCCGCCCCGGGCGACTGAACACTATCACCGAGCGATCAGATCACCCAGTGATCTAGGCTGTGGCCGTGGTGGTTGCGGTGGCTGCAGTGACTGAAGTGAGGAAGAGAAGCTTCACAGGACAGGAAGTGAGATGAGAGTCCTAGAGTCCTGATCACTTGGGGACGGGGGTCTGGATGCCCACACGAGATGTGAACCAAGGACTTGCACCAGGGGCAATTCTGGAAGGCTGCCGTTAGCCCGGAGAGCAGCCCTGGGCCGGACTGGAAGTGAAAGCAGCACCCGCGCCTGCCTGACGCCTCACCTGGGGAAGCAGGGACGGCAGACAGGCTGCCGGGAGGAAGCCAGCCTGCGGGCAAAACTCACCCACGGCTAAAGTATCTGGGGGGAAAATATTTTTAAATAATTTTTTATTTTTCAGTTACACTTAACACAATGTTATATTAGTTTCAGGTGTGCAGCATAGCGATTATACATTTATTTCTATAACTTACAAAACGATCACCCCAATAAATTGAGTACCCATCTGACACCATAGGTAGTTATTACGATATTATTGACTGTTTTCCCTGTGCTGTACTTTACGTCCCCGTGACTATTTTGTAACCACCAATTTGTCTTCTTCATCCCTTCCTCTTTCCCCATCCCCCCGCCCCCGCCCATCTGGCAACCATCAAAATGTTCTCTGTATCAATCAGTTTGTTTCTGTGTTGTTTATTTTGTTTTTTAGATTCCACATATAAGTGAAATTATATGGTGTTTGTCTTTCTCTGTCTGACTTATTTCACTCAGCACAATACCCTCTAGATCTATCTTGCAGATGCCAAGATTTCGTTCTTTTTTATGGCTGAGTCATAGTCCATTGCATATTCCATTGTTTATATGCACCACTTCTTCTTTATCCATTCATTTTTTTTTTAATCCTCACTTGAGGATATTTTTTCCATGAGGATATTTTTTCCATTGCTTTTCAGAGAGTGGAAGAGAGAGAGAGGAAGAGAGAGAAACATCGATGTGAGAGATACACATTGATTGGTTGCCTCCCACACGTGCCCAGACAGGGGTCAGGGATGGAGCCTGCAACCGAGGTACGTGTCCCTGGTGGGAATCAAGCCTGGGACCCTTCAGCCTCTGGGCCGATGCTCTAACTCCTGAGCCAAACAGGCCAGGGCTATCCATTCATCTACTGATGGACACAGGTTGCTTCCCTGGCTATTGTAAATAATGTTGCAGTGAACATATGGATGCGTATGTCTTTTCAAATTAGTGTTTTGGCTTTTTTCTGATAAATGTCCAGCTGTGGAATTGCTGGGTTCTTCTTTGTCTCTTATTATAGCTTTTGTTTTAAAATCTATTTTGTCTGGTGTAAGTAGTCCCCTGGCTTTTTTTGTTTGTTTCTTTTTTCACGAACTATCTTTTTTACTTTCAGTCTGTGTGGGTCTTTCAATCTGAAATTAAGTCTCTTATAGACAGCATCGGTAAAAGTCTTGTTTTCTTTAATCCATTCAGCCACCTTATGTCTTTTGATTGAAGCATTTAATCCATTTGCATTTAAAGTGATTGTTGATATATAGTTATTGCCATTTTATTGTTCATATTTTTATCTTTTTTTCTTCTTCTTTGTCTTAAAGAAGTCTCTTTAACTTTGTTTTTTTGATAATACTGGTTTAGTGGTGACAAACTTTTAGCTTTTTCTTCTCTGGGAAGCTCTTTATCTGTCCTTCGATTCTAAATGATAGCTCTGCTGGGTAAAGTAATCTTGGTTGTAGATCCTTGCTTTTTTGTTGCTGTTTTTTTTTTGTTTTTTCCCATAATCAAAACTTTATTGACAAATTGGCACCAAAATAGGACATCATTGTTGTATAGTACTTACAACATTAAATGCAAGTACATTATCTTGGTTGAGTAACTAGAATTACTGAACTGATGAGGCTGTGATAGAACACAAATTCAAGAATTTTAATGTGTATTGTTAGTATTGCCTTCTTCTAAATGAACACCCTTCCTTGAGTCTAGCCTTTCTTCCTGTCAGCTGGCACAACACTGTTGAACAACCGGCATAAAGAACCACCGTCTGAGCATGGCTGAAAACCGTGGTGATCTTGTAGCAACCTGGACATTTTACATCCATAAGATAAGAATTTGGACTTTGAACGAGCCATTTCTTTTTGTGTGTTTTTCTTTTCCTCTTCCAAGAACGGATGTAGTAAACCTCTAGCCAAAAGCATGTCCATCTTTTGCAAGCCCAGCAGGTCAAGATCTCTGAAGTGACACCCCTTGCAAGCAGCAGGTCCTTGATTTTCATCACTTTCATTATTTTGTGCCCATCCCTTCTAGCCTTCAAAGTTTCTGTTGAGAAATCAATTGACAGTCTTACGGGAGCTCCCTTGTAGGTAACTAACTGCTTTTTTCTTGCTGCTTTTAAGATTCTCTCTTTGTCTTTAGCCCTTGGCATTTTAATTATGATGTGTCTTGGTGTGGGCCTCTTTGGGTTCCTCTTGCCTGGGACTCTGTGCTTCCTGGGCTTGTGTGTCTATTTCCTTCACCAGGGTAGGGACGTTTTCCAGGAGCTATAGGACTTCTCTTCCCAGCACTGGAACCCTGGCTGGGACCTCTCACTCCTCAAGGGGCACCTCTGCAGCTGAGGTACCTCTCCCAATTTTTAACTGCCACATGTGGGTGTGGGACCAACTTGTTCCTCATCTCTGTCCCTCCTACCAATATTACTGTGACTTCTTCTTTATATCTGTAGTGATAGAACTTCTGTTCAGCTAGACTTCAAGTGGTTCTCAGTGCTGATTGATCTGTAGCTTAGTTGTAATTTTGATGTGGTCATGGGAGGAGGTGAGTACAGTATTTACCTACTCTAACATCTTGACATTTCTCTAGGGAGAAATTTTTTATAAGGGGCAAGCTACTGGCATAGTCTTAAAGTGTCTCTTTACAGCCCTGGCCAGTATGGGTCAGTTGGTTGGAGTGTCATCCCATACATCGAAATGTCACGGGTTCGATTCCCGGGTCAGGACACATACCCAGGTTGCAGGTTCAATCCCTCATCAGTGTGTGTACAGGAAGCAACTGATTGATGTTTCTCTCTCTCTCTCCCTCTCCCTTTCTCTCTCTCTAAAATTAATAAAAACATATCCTAGGAGAGGATTTAAAAAATGTTTTTTTTAAAAAGTGTCTCTTTACAGATTATTATTATTGGCGAGGGAGGGGGAGGAGTAACTAAAAGGATAACTATATAGTAGAAGATTCAGGCAACATCTTGACCAGAGGATTAAAATCACATCACCAATGAGGGGCAGTGGGCATTGTGCATCTCCACGTGAGGCTCTGAGCAGGCCACATCATCTACAGAGGATTCCTGACAGGAATACATGACCTGAGTCTAATCATAATGAAACATCAGACAAACCCAAATTGAGGGCCACTACTTTTTTAAATAGAATTTATTTTTTAGAGTAGTTTTAGGTTCACAGCAAAATTGAGCAGAAGGCTCAGAGATTTCTCACACACCCCTGTCCTGACACATACATAAGCTTCCCTATTATCAATATCCCCCACCAGCATGGGACATTTGTTACAACTGATGAACTTACATGGACACACCAAAACCACATAAAGCCCACTGTTTACATTAGGGTTCACTCTTGGTGTACATTCTATTAGTCTGGACAAATGTGTGACATGTATTCACCATTACAGTATCATAGAGAGTTGTTTCATTGTCCTAAAAATCCTCTGTGCTCAGCCTACTCATCCCACCCTCCCCAAACCTTATCTTTTAACTGTCTTGATAGTTTTGCCTTTTCCAGAATGTCACATAGTTGGAATCAGACAATACGTAATCTTTTCAGTTTGGCTTCTTTCATTTGTAATATGCATTTAAGTTCCTCCATGTCCTTTTGTGTCTAGATAGCACATTTCTATTAGCACTGAATAGTTTCCATTATCTGGATATACCACAGTTTATTTATCCATTCACCTACTGAAGTGCATCTTGGTTGCTGCAAGGGTTGACAAATATGAGTAAAGCTGCTATAAACATCCACGTCCATGTTTTTGTGTGGACATAAGTTTTCAACTCTTTTGGGTAAATACCAAGGAATGTAACTGCTAGATTGGATGGTAAGAGTATAGAGCATTATTTTTTTTAAGGAAGCGGATTATTCAAAAATTGCAGTCATAAGAGACTAAGAAAGACTGAGGGATTGTTTCAGATTAAGGGAGAAAGAAGAGATGTGATATTTAAATGCAACATAAAATCCTAGACTGTGTCTTATGCTGGAAGGGGAAATGCACATGATTGGATCAGTTGATAAAACTGGGATGCAGATAGTAGATTAGGAAGAAATACATCAATGTAGAGTTTACTGAAGATGATAACTATACTATGGTTTTGGAGTGAAGTCCTTATACTGAAGTGTTTAGGGTTAAAAGGCCATCATGTATGCAACTTACTCTCAAATAGTTCAGGAATAAAAAAATAGATATAGTAAGAAAGCAAATGGGGCAAAATGTTAATATTCGAGGAATTTGGATAAAAATTATATGGGTTTCTTTGTACTATATTGTAATTTTTCTGTAAATTGGAAATTATTTCTAAATAAAAATATAAAGCACAAAATGACAACCAACCCAATTAAAAATGAACAACAGACTTGAATAGATAATTCTCCAAAAAAGATATACAAATGGCCAACATGCATAGGAAAACATACTCAATATCGCTAGTCATTAAGGAAATGCAAATCAAAACCAC